CCATGGATGGAATCACAGAACTGAAAAATGATTATCCATAGGAGAATTGATAAATTCTAAATAAATTCTATAATTAAGATAGTAGTAAAGAATAAGGTTAATTTCTTAGTTCTGACAAATGTTCTCAGATTAATACATTAACCAGAAGAGACAGAGGTGACAAGATGAACAGCATTCTATACTCTCTTTGCAACTTTTCTCTAAGTAGAAAATCATCTCAAAATATTAAAAAAAAGAAGTAGCAAAGTCCAGCCCCACTGCTTTCTAGCTCAACCCTATCATTCCTTTAAACAAACCTATATTTAACAGCCCTTTCATCTTTTCACTAACTCCAATCTTATTACTGACTATAAACTCCCACTACCGTAAACTTTCTGAAATCAGAGCCTATGTCTGCTTTTTCACCCCATTGTGTCCCTAGTGCTTAGTACAGATCTGGCACATTGCAAAGACTATTTATTTGCTGAATAAAAAAATGGCAGTTGCAGTATAGTGTATTCCTATTGCTACAATAAAAAATTAGCATACATTTAGTGGACTGAAATATAAATCTATTACTTTCCAGTTCTGGGGATCATAAGCTTACAATAAACCTCACTAGTCTGAAATTAAGATACCAGGAGGGCTGCATTCCTTCTAGGAACTCTTAGGAACAATCTGTTTCCTTGCTTTTTCTAACTTTCTAGAAGATACCGACATTCCTTGGCTCTCTGCACATCCAGCAGCAGCATCACTTCAACTTCTGTTTCCATTCATAGACCTTTCTCTATAGCCAACCAGTGTTGTTCTTACAAGGACCACTGTGATCATAGTGGTCTACTCAGATGATGCAAGGTCATCTCTATATCTTTAATGTAGACTCATTTGCAAAACTCCATTTTGCAATTTGAGGAATATTCACAGATGCCAGAGATTAAGATATGGACATCTTTGGAATGTCCTTATTCAGCTTACTACATTTATCATTTTGTCTCTTTTTCTTTTAGCTTATCCAGTAAATAAATCAAAGTAACTGATTGAATTAACTGGAAAAATTAATGCTATTTACTAGACTGAAGCTGTCACTTGTACCTCCATCCTTTAACAGTTTTGTAAAATCATTTGCCTTTGGGGCTGGGAATGTAGCTTAGTGGTAGTGTGTTTGGTAGTGGGGCTGGACAGGTAACTCAATGGTAGAGTGCTTGCCTCGCATGCATGAAGCCCTGGGTTCAATTCCTCAGTACCACATAAATAGAAAAGGCTGGAAGTGGCACTGTGGCTCAAGTGGTAGAGTACTAGCTACCCTTAAGCAAAAGAAACTCAAGGACATTGCCCAAGCCCTGAGTTCAAGCCCTAGTACTTGCAAAAAAAAAAAGCATTTCCTTTGGTTTAGACAATAAAGTTATATTAACAGTGGTTTAAAAATATATATAATACGTGAATTTAACCAGGATTTATTTTTCTTTCAACAAAAATTCCTTGCCGATCAGTATGTTCTACTTCTAAGATTGAGATGAAGACAGTAGAAAAATCAAACTAGATAATATTATTTGAGCTGTGTCTTTATTGTAACTACAATTTTCATTTTCCTATGTGACTCAAACAGAACCTAGAAACATTTCCAAGAAAGCTATAAAAATAAATATATAGCACATTTTCTTTTCTTTTCTTTTTTTGGTCAGTCATGGGGATTGAACTTTGGGCCTGGGCGCTGTCCCTCAGCTCTTCAGCTCAAGGCTAGCACTCTACCACTTGAGCCACAGCGCCACTTCCAGATTTTTCTGCTTATGTGGCGTTGAGGAATCAAACCTAGGGCTTCATGCATGCGAGGCAAGCACTCTACCACTGAGCCACCTGTCCAGCCCCATAGCACACTTTCTTTAGCCACTTATCAGTAAGTGGGTACCTGCGCTGATTCCATAATTTGGCTACTGTGAATATGTTTCTATAAAGATGAGAGTTCAGATAGCTCAATGGTAGCAGAGTACTATCCAGGCAAAAAAAAAAAAAAAAAAAGAAGCAAATGATGTTATTTGCAGGCTACAGCATAGAACTAGAGATCATCATGTTAAATGAAGCCAGACAGAAAACGGCAAAAATCACATGTTCTCTCTCTCATATGCAGATATAGCCCTTAAAAAGGTGAATGAGAGGGGCTGGGAATGTGGCTTGGTGGTAGAGTGCTTGCCTAGCATGCATGAAGCCTTGGGTTCCATTCCTCAGTACCACATAAACAGAAAAAGGTGGAAGTGGCACTGTGGCTCAAGTGGTAGAATGCTAGCCTTGAGCAAAAGCAGCTAAGGGACAGTGCCCAGACCCTGAATTCAACCCCCAAAACTGGCAAAAAAAAAAAAAAAAAAAAAAAAAGTGCATGAGAAACCAGGTACTGGTGACTCACACCTATAATCCTAGCTACTCAGGAGGCTGAAATATGAGGATCCAGGTTTAAAACCAGCCTGGGCAGGAAAATCTGTGAGATTTTTATCTCCAAGCCTGTGGCTCAAGTAGTAGTATTCTAGCTTTGAGCACAAGGTGGCTCAGAGATAGCTCCTAAGTCCTAAGTTTAAGCCCCAGGACCAGCAAAAAGAAAAAAAAATAGTGAATGAGAGGAATATAAAACAGGGACTACTGGGCTGGGAAGGTGGCTCAGTGGTAGAGCGCTTGCCTTGCATGCCTGAGGCCCTGAGTTCGATTCCTCAGCACCACATAAGCAAAAAGAAAAAAGCCAGAAGTGGCACTGTGGCTCAAGTGGTAGAGCACTAGCCTTGAGCTGAAAAGCTGAGGGACAGCGCCCAGGCCCAGAGTTCAGGCCCTATGACCAGACCCAAAAAAACAAAAAAAAAACAAAAACAAAAAAACAGACTACTGGGGATAGGAACCAGCAAGAGGAGAGAGGGTGAAGGTGAGACTAAATATCGTCAAAGTACTTTATACACATGAATGAAAATAGGATAATGAAATTTGTTTAAAACTTTTAATGAAGAGGATAAGGAGCTGAACGCTGCTGGCTCATGCCTGTAATCCTAGATACTCAGGAGGCTGAGATCTGAGGATTCCGGTTCAAAGCCAGCCCGGGCAGGAGAGACCGTGAGACTCCTATCTCCAATAAACCACTAGAAAACTGGAAGTGGTGCTATGGCTCAAGTGGTTGAGCACTCACCTTGAGCTGAAGAGTGCAGGACAGCACTCAGGCCCAGAGTTCAAGCCCCACGACAGACCAAAAAGGAGGAGGATGAGAAAAAGTAACAAGGTGAACTTTATCAAAGTAGTCTGTATTTTCCATGCATGAAAATCCATAATGAAACACACTTGTATAATTAATATACTCATAAAATTAAAAACTTAGTTATTAAACTAAAAAAGAAAACTTAATTAAAAATTTTTAATTAAGCCAGGTGCTGGTGGCTCACACCTGTAATCCTAGCTACTCAGGAGGCTGAGATCTGAGGATGGAGTTTCAAAGTCAGCCTAGACAGGAAAGTCCATGAGACTCTTATCTCCAATTAACCACCAGAAAACCCCAAGTGGCACTGTGGCTCAAGTGGTACAGTGCTCACCTTGAGCTGAAGAACTCAGGGCCAGTGCCCAGGCCCAAGAGTTCAAGCCCCATATCCGATAATAAGAAAAGGTATCTAATTAAAAATCAACTGTTTTCATATTTGATATTAATTTCAAAATTAAATGTAAGCCTGATGTTTGAAAATATAATTGAGTCCAAAAGTTCAGGACTGTCCAAGGAAAGAAAAAGGGGAAAAAAGGGGAGTAGAAAAAGAAGAAAAGTAGGAAGAGAACAAAAAAAAAAACAGAAGAGGAAAAGAAAAATTTTAAATATACCTTTCCTTAAAATGTTCTTAGATGTTAAATGAAAATAAAAATAAGGCAGGGGTAGAGGTGTGGCTCAAGTTGTAGAGCCAGACTTGAATGAAAAAGTTGATCAAGAATCCTGAGAGAGAAGAGAGAGAGATAGGAAAGAGAGAAGGGAGAGAAGAAAGGAGAGGGGAAAGAAGAGGCAGTGGCTCACTCTTGTAATTCTAGCTACTCAGGAGGCTGAGATCTGAGTATGGCGGTTCAAAGACAGTGGGGTAAAAAAGTCTGTGAGACTCTGATCGCATCTCCCATTAACCAGCAAAAAGCCAGTAGTGGAGGTGTGGCTCAAGTGGAAGAACAGCTAGCCTTGAGCTAAAAAGCCAAGAGAGAACAAACAGGCTGAATTCAAGCCCTAGATATGGAACAAAACAGGAGTGAGAAAGGCAATCATACTGAATATATTCCTATCTCACCCTAAAGTATTTAGTATAACAAACAGTGACATACACATTTACTGAAGGTTTCAAAATGAAATATTAACAAGAATTTGGGGAATTCTAAGGCATAAGATAGTTTTCCAAAGAAAGCCATCATAGACTTTTCCTTTTATAACAAATGGGAGGAGGAAGCCAGGCATGGTGGGGCACACCTATAACACCAGCACTCAGGAAGCTGACATTGCCTGGCTACAAGTTCAATGCCAGTTTGATCTACGTAAATGAAAACCAAGGACTACGATATAACTCAGTGGTGGAGCACATGCCTAGCATGCATGAGGCCCTATTTTGAGCTCAGTGCTAGAAAACAAAATAAACAGCAACAAAAAATAGGAACTAAAGGCATAGCTGAAGTGCTAGTGCCAATCCTGGGCAAAAAAAAGTCAAGTGAAAGTGTGAGAGGAGGCCCTGAGTTCAAGCACCAGTACTGATACAAAATCAAAACAAAACAAAAAACCCAGAGAAGAGATGTTGAAAATGTAGCTCAGTGATAGAACTGATTGCCTACCATGTGCCAGGGCCAGAATTCGGTTCTAAGAACTATAAATAAAGCAAAAACAAGAAAAACAACCAAAAAAAGCAGAAAACAAAGGAACATAATTTCTGAAAGGTGGAAGACATACCGTTCATTTTTTAATCTAGGTTACATTTTAATCCTCAGAAGGCCAGGTCAGCTAAAACTGGAATTTATTATAACCACGAAGATTATTTACCCACCTGCAATTCACACCAAGCAACCTCGACCCAAGTTTCAGTGTCCAGTCCTTTATACACTGTTTTAAATGCTCCTCTTCCCAGTTCTATGTCAAATTTCAGGAATCTGCCACTAGGAGAAGTCGCCACAGCTTTCATTTCTGCTTCTTCTTCCATTTCCTTTTCACTTTTATCCTTGAAGCATTCTTTTGAGGATTCTGAGGTTGCCTTTGAACACTGTTCATATTTCATTTCTTGTCCACCTCTTAGTACATTTGTAGGAAGTTTTTCTACTCTTGGAATATTTGTTGCAGCCTTTATTCTCTCATCTTTGGGGGAAGATTCAGGAACTTTCTCATCTTCAGTCATCTCAACACTCTTTCGGAAAAATCTCTTTTTTTCTATGGTTTCCCCAGGAGCAGAGATGGTATTGTTTTTGTCCTTTAATCTATCTTCTACTGTCAAAGTTGTAGCAACCTGGGGAACTCTGTTTTCAAAGGAAACTCCATCAGGTTTCTCAGAATCTTCTGTGCTGGCTGGCTCCCCTGAATCAGTGGCCATTGTAAGAAAAGTTGGCACTAAATTTTTCTGGTTCCACTCTTCAGTATATTTACATCTCAGGTATTAGAATAATCAGAATGAACTTCCTTCTATGTGGTCATATATTTCCATAGCAACCTGAAGGGGGAAAAAGGATATTTTAAAAACTGTCCCACAAAGGAAATCATTAAGGAGAAAACAAGTCACCTGAGTTTTAATCCCTCTTTTCTTAATAAGTACTTTACTCCTTTTTTTCTGTCCAACCTTAGCAACTGGCAGACTCCAGGGACTGTGTTTTATCTTATTTACCTCTGAGCCCAGGATGCCTAGCAAACCACTTAGTCCACAGCTACGCACATTTTCACATTACAGGAATATAGGTTAGGAACCTGGTTGTCAGTTCTATCAATACATTAAACTTAAAACAAAGGCGCAAAGCCTAAGTTCAATCTAGGTGATTCTTGTCTGAAATTCTAGAATTCATCTAATAGTAGATCTCTCATTGTGGAATAATATACAGAACATTAAAGCTTACCAATTTAATCATTTTTATGTGTAATAGCTTCATGGCATTAATACATTCTCAGAGTTGTGTTATCACAACTTCTACCCATCCCCATATTTTTCATTATGCCAAGCCAAATCTGTACTTGTTATATGAAAATTTCCTGTCAAGTCTGATGCTATGGTGTATACCTATAGTACAAGCTATGTGAGAAGCTGAAGGCAGGAGCATCACGTGAGTGCAAGAGGTTGAGGTGAGCCTCAGCAACATGACTAGACTCCCATCTCTAAAAAGAGAAAAAAAGTATTTAGGATGGTTGGGGTATAGATAAATGGCACAGTGTGCATGTTAAGCATGCCAAGGGAGGCTCTGGATTCAATCCCCAGAACCACTAAAAAACAACAACAAAAACTTATCCAAAATCACCCCTGGAAAGCTCTATTCCACTTTCTATCTGTCTGAATTTACTTACTGTAGTAAATTCAAGTAAAGTGGAACCACACAACCTTTTTCCTATTGTGTCTAGCTTATTTCATTTGGCATAATGCTTTTGAGAGTTATCACTGTGACAGCATTGCTAGGACCCCTTTCTTTTTTCCTTGGCAATATTGAGGTTTGAACTCAGGGCCTTGAACTTGCTAGGCAGGAACTCCACCACTTAAGTCACACACTCAGCCTTTTTATACTTTAGGTATGATTTTACTTGAAGCAACCTCAGATTACAATCCTTTTATCTATAGCCTCCCCCATTGTTGGGATCACAGGCCTATACCACTATGCCTAGCTTACCAAGATGAGATTTCATTGACTTTTTGCCCACCCTGGCTTTAAACTTCAAAATAGACCAATGTCTGCCTCCTCAGGAGCTAGTATTAAAGGAGCAAGCCATACTCTACAGTCTTGGGATTTCATTAAAGTGTGGACAATATCCTACTGTATATATACATCACATTTCATTTATTCATTTATCAATAGACTGAGTTGGTCTCACCATTTTACTATTGTTAATAATGCCACTATGTAGTAGTAGTTTTATATAATACAAATATGTATAGGCTTTCTTTCAGATTTTAACAAATCTATCAAATAGTAATATACTATACTAAAAGGACAGCAAAAAAGACTCAAAACCATGAATACTTTGAATCTAACAACATCACATATGGGAACATGACTTAGAGAGTTGTCAAGTGATCTGCAGAATATATAAAGAATGCAAAAAATTGAACAGAAAAAGAGCAAATAATCCAATCTTTGAAAGGGCAAAAGAATTGAACAGACATTTCTCCAAAAAAGTACAAATAACCAATAAATATATGACAAAATGTTTAATATCCTTAGCTATCAGAAAAAAACACATGAACACTACATTAAAGTATCATCTCACCTCTATATAACTAATATAAGTTAATTAATGAATACTTAAAAACAAAGATGCTATAAGCCGGGCAATGTTGGCTTATGGCGTAATCCTACCTACTCAGGAGGCTGAGATCTGAGGATCGAAGTTCAAAGCCAGCCCAGGCAGGAAAGACCATGAGCACTATGGCTCAAGAGGTAGAGCTTGAGCTGAAGAGCTCAGGGTCAGTGCCCAGGCCCAGAGTTCAAGCCCCATCACAGATAAAAAAAAAAATTAAAAATAGAGTTCCGGAGGCATAGGCATGTAAGTAGAATCACACAATATTTGTGTGATTCAGGGCAGAATAGTGAAGTCCTGAGTTCAAGCCCCAGTACCAATAAAAAAAAAAATTGAACTACCATGTGATTCAGACATACTGCCCCCAGGGTATATACTTAGAATCAAAGTCAATTTACTCAATACTGGGCATTTTGGAGCACTCTAGTACTCAGGAGGAAGAGGGAAATGATTCCAAGTTTGAGGGAAACCTGGGCTATGTACACAGCAAAATCTTGTTCCTAAAAGCTCAAACATCCTGGTGCTTACCATTGGCTGTGTTCTTATATTGTACAGAATGAGGCAGCAGAGTAACCTACCGTATATATACCTCAGACAATAATTTGTACCTGGTATTATAAATGGAGAGACATGGAGAAAATAAAAAAGAAAAATCAGCTGGGTGCTGGTGGCTCATGTTTGATATTCTAGCAACTCAGGAGGCTGAGATCTGAGGACCATGGTTAGAAGCTAACCTGAGCAGGAAAGTCCATGAGACTCTCAACTCCAATTAACTACCAAAAAGTAAGAAGTGGAGCTGTGGCTCCAGGGGTAGAGCAGCAGCCTTGAGCAAAAAAGCTAAGGGACAGGCCTAAGTTCAAACCCTGAGAATGGCACCAAAAATCAATTAATTAAATTTAAAAGAGGAGAAAAATAAAGCCCCCCCCCAAAAAAAACAAAAATCAAAAAAGAACTAAAAATGTCATCCAGTGGTTTAGACACATGCTAGCATGTAGAAGAATCCAGACTTGATACTCATACTTAATACTCCATGTTTATAACTACATTATTCACAATAGCAAAGTTATGGAATCAAGCTAGGTGCCCATTAAAAATGTGAAATGTGGCGTGCACACACACACAGAATTTTACTCAACTATAAAGAATGAAATTATGTCATTTACTGGAAAATGGAACTGGAGATCATGTTAAGCTAAATCACTCAATTTCACAAAGTATCACACGTGTTCTCTCATATGTGGAAATTATGGGGGTAACATGAAAGTAAAAGAGGGAGTATTAGGTGGGCTGGGAAGGTGGCTCAGTGGTAGAGTGCTTGTCTTGTATGCATGAGGCTCTGGGTTCGATTCCTCAGCACCACATAAGCAAAAAAGAAAAAAGCCATAAGTGGCGCTGTAGCTCAAGTTGTAGAGTGCTAGCCTTGAGCTGAAGTGCTGAGGGACAGCGAAACGCCCAGGCCCAGAGTTTAGGCCCCCCCCAAAAAAAGAGGGACTATTAAGGATGTAGGAGAAAAGAGGGAGAAGAAGAATAAGAAGAGACAACAGGCAGGTGGATATGATTAAAGTGTATCATATGCATTATGCAAATGTCAAAGTGAATCGCATAGCTTTGTACAACTAATTAATATACACTAGTTAAAAGAAATTAGTCATAGTCTGGAGACCAGCTCACTGAAAAAACACATGCATACTATGTGCAAGACCCTGAGTTCAATCCCTAACATACCAAACGAAGGGAAGAGAAAAGTTAAGACTGTGCAAAGATCTAACCACACAGATGTGCATTTTAGCACTTATAATTTAGAAAAACACAAATTAAACATAAGCCTAATATGGGTTTAAGTAAACATCTCAAAATGCGGTATAATACAGCATTAAAAATAACATTGTAGCGCTCGCCTTGAGCTGAAGAGCACAAAGACAGCGCCCAAGCCCAGAGTTCAAGCCCCACGACAAAAAAATAAATAAATAACATTGTATCCAGGCACTGGTGGCATATTCCTATATTTCTAGCTACTCAAAAAGGCTGAAGTCTGAGGACTGAGGTTCAAAGTCAGCCAAATCTGAGTGACTATTAGTTCCAATTAATCAGCAAAAAGCTGGAAGAAGTGTGGTTAAAGTAGTAGAGTGGAAAAGCCAAGCAATAATGTGAGGCCCTGACTTCAAGTCCCAGTATCAACACAAAAAATAAAAATAAATTTAAAAAAAAAGCCAGGTGCTGGTGGATCACGCCTGTAATCTTAGCTACTCAGGAGGCTGAAATCTGAGGATTTAGGTTCAAAGCCAGACCAGGCAGGAAAGTCCGTGAGACTCTTTTTTTTTTTGGTCAGTCATGGGGCTTGAACTCTGGGCCTGGGCGCTGTCCCTGTGCTCTTCAGCTCAAGGCGAGCACTCTACCACTTGAGCCACAGCACCACTTCCGGTTTTCTAGTGGTTTATTGGAGATAATAGTCTCATGGACTTTCCTGCCTGGCCTGGCTTTGAACCATGATCCTCAGATCTCAGCCTCCTGAGTAGCTAGGATTACAGGGGTGAGCCACTGGCACCCGTTTCTTGAGACTCTTATCTCCAATTAACCACTGGAAAACCAGAAGTGGCGCTGTGGCTCAAGTACTTGCTTTGAGCTGAAGAGCTCAGAGACAGCGCCCAGGCCTAGGCCCAGAGTACAAGCCTCTTGACCAACAATAAATAAGTAAACAAACAAATAAATAAATAAAAGTAAAAACATTTTTGGGCCAGGGATGTAGCTCAATTGCAGAGTGCTTATCTAGCATGAGCAAAGCCAATATTTGATTGCAAATATGGGGGTGGGGAGATTAAAGTTTTTAGTGAGATTGAAATGATATTTCATAAGCTGAGCACCAGTGGCTCATGTCTATAACCTAGCTACTCAGGAGGTTCAAAGCCAGCCCATGCAGGAAAGTCCATGAGACTTTTATTTCCAATTAGTCACAAAAAATGCTAGAAGTGGAGCTGTTGCTCAAGTGGTAGAGCACTAGTCTTGAGCAAAAATGCTCAGGGACAGTGCCTAGGCCTTGAGTTCAAGCCCCAGTACTGGCATAAAAACAGATATTTCCTCTATATTATATGATTGAATGAC